GTTCCTCTCTCCTTAGCTTCCGAGACAGTTATAACTATCTCGGAAATGGTGGGCTCAATTCATGCTTCCGAGACAGTTGTAGGTGTCTCAGAAGCTACAATCTCAAAAGCTACAATCCTCCTCGTAGTTTCCGAGACAGTTGTAACTATCTCAGAAACTGTGATTTCCTTTTTTTTTTGGAAACATGCTTTGAGTCCCGAAACTTGCATGATGCACTTCTTGTACATCTTTTAGTTGATCTTTAGCTTTGGATGATCCTCTGTAACACATATGATATCGTTTATCGCCTTCTCTCCATCTTGAGCTACGTATGATAATAATATAGAAATTTTTATGTTAACTTAAGTGGACCATCCACCAAATTCTATTCATTAATGATACCTAGGGATCCATACAAGATATGAATGATATATATATATATATATATATATATATATATATTATAATTTTTCTATGTTTCTAATTCATTACTTAAGATAGGATCATCTTTAATTATCTCTCTTGATCATGTGTTTGTTTGCTTCGTTGCATATAGTGAAGCTATCTTAATAGTCTTTACTTTTTTCTGAATAAAAGTAAGTTCCAAACATCGCATGGTTGAATTTATCTCTCACGTTATATTAGCCTGTATCTATAAGTCATCCTTGCATTCTCGGTTTTTTGGTAGCCTCCATCACGTGTAAACTTTTTTTATCGTGTTGCATTATAATATATAATAACATCGTTGGCCTTTTATTGGTCATTTGAACCATACTTAAATAATTACTTGATATATTCTATTAAAAGTAATTAAAATAATGGTTAAAAATTAAGGCCTAATTAAAAACAAAATCCTTAATTTTAGTAAATATGAATTCAACACACTCTTAAGTATGTAATTTAGGCGGTTTGGGCCCAGCCCGAAACACGTTAGGCTAGGCTTCCAAGTATGATTTGGGCAACTCTGAAACCCAAAATTAAATATCCAAGACTGGCCTGAAAAAAGTCCAGGCCCGGCATGTCGAGCTTCTAGTCCAAGTTTGGGCAGGTCCCAAAAAGCCTGGCTTTATGAACCTAGGTCGTGGCCATGTCTAACTTATAGTAGTACAAGATGGAATTTAATAAGCATACACTGTATTGTACTCGTAATTTTTAAATAGGTCTAAGAAACATATAACAGAAATACCCTCAAAATCCTTTCTCTTTGCCTGTGATTTTTGACAACCCAAAATTTTGATATGATGGACACTGTTCAACTACTCACATCCGCGTAAACAAACAAAGAATAGGCTCTACAGATTTTTGATCTGATAGGATTTTGTTGAGGGGCTCACTTTTAGGAAAAATCTATTAGAATCCTTGTGGAATCCAAGTAACCAAGCAACCCCTTAGAAAAGAAACTATTTTACTTATTGGAAAATTTTATAATCAAAACCAATGTGATTACAATTTGTAGTTGTTTTAAGGTAAATTTACAAAAAAAATTAACCCTTAACTTTGGGCATTTCTCTAATAACCCTTCTCAACTTTAAAATTCACAAAATCCTCCTTCAGTTTTGGGTTTCTCAGTAAACTCACTTCAAGTTTCAACATTTAAAAAAACCCTAAAAGTATGAACCATGATTTTTCTCGAAAAAACACCCCTCATATAGCAAGTATCTAACTATAGAACCAAATATTTTACTCAAAGAGAAAAGCTATTATGAATATGTTAAAAAAACTTTTAGTAAAATTGTGATTAACGTAAATACATAGGTTTTTTCATTACAAAATTTAGCTAGTGAGAGTCAATGAATGCCTTTTAGTTTTGAGGTTGTTTCATTAAAATTTTTTAAAAGATTCCAACATTATTTTTTCTGTTTCAATGAGAATAAAAGTTAATCTCACAAAAATTTTCTATTTTTCAAATTTATTAAATGATGTTA